TAGTCTAAAAATTTTGAGGTAGATCGCCAGCAGTTCAAGTTTGAGCACCCCTGCTATAGACGCTTGCGAAACGAAAAATATCACTCGCGCCGTTGCCTACCCTGACCCCATCCCCTACCCTGGAACCTTACACACTGACAGAAACATACCACCACCAAAAGGTAGTGTTATTTCACTGTGTCTTCTGTAAGATGGAAGTTACTTACCGAAATAGACCCGCTATGCCCGTTATACTTCTCTACAGACCAAGAGGAATCCTTCGTACAAGGTACGGACCGTACCCCTATGGCACGGAAATATATCTACTGTACACGGAATGTATGTATATCTATTGTACGTTTGTTGTGCGAGAAAATAGCTGAAAGTTTAGTCTCTTCCTCGCCGGCGCACAGTGGGCGTTATTTAAACGATCAAAAATACGCGCGAGCCAGTAAATCTAATCAAAAATCTAAAGGTGGTTTAGCCTGCTTAGAGGTTGATAGGGGTGGTTTCTACCCCTAAAAAAGTGAATTTCCGCAGTGCTACAAGAAAGCAGACATAATTACGAGTATTTAAAAAAATATATCTCATTTATTTGCCCAACCATGGCACTCTATTCTCCGCTCCTACACCATCCCGGGCCACAGCGTGTAGATAGATTTAAATTATCTAAAGGGTAAATATTAATATGTAGGTAAAAAATAAAATGGTTGCCTGTAAAGTCGGTTTTACGGGCGAAGATTTTACGTGACAACGTCTTTTTCTCGGTAGAATATTTATTGATATGAATATAATTAAATTGCACAATAGGAACAAGGAATTGAATGAAAATAAGAATTGCACAAATTTTAACTATAGAAATATATTTTGTTTACTAAAACATTGTACATGTAAACTTAAACTTAACACGAGAGACTCATCGTAACGTTACCGAGCGTTACACTTTTTCATAAGTGACTCCCAGCCGCAACCTAATTTAAGACGTTGTCACGTCAAAATAGATCGATTAATATCTCAAACAGATCTAGTATCGCGGCGCCACAAAAAGTTGCCAAGAGTGATCCGCATTCGCATTTCAATGGTTCCATCTTACCATAGTTAATGCAGCGACTACAGCGAGTGATCAACTGCTATTACAGTTCATGATATCGACAGTGGAAAAGCAAAATTGCTTATACACCACTTCGGTGCTGCTCAAAAATAGACTTAATTTCACTATCATTTAATGTTAATTTTTAAGCAGCACAAAAGTGGCGTATAAACTATTTTGCTTTCCACTGTTGATCTACAGTCCACTGAAAGGTGGATGGACTAACAGCGGGCCAAGTAACAGTTTGTTTGTTACGGGCCCCTAAAATTAAACAATATATTATTTTTCCTTAGATTAAAACTATGTCAACGAACTATACATAGAATAAAATAAAATACAGGAGTGGTTAAAGACAGACCACTATGGAATTTCGTAAAATATATAACATAAGTTTTACTTTTATTCACCCCGTGCCAAATTAATTAAGAGAGATATTTCGAAGTGGAGATTAGGTAGGTACTTTTATAATGTTCCACATTATAAAAGTACCTACCTAATCTCCTTATAATACTAATCACCATCATTAATAGACAAAAACACACACAATATAATGACAGGGTAATTTATGAATCTAGTTAAAAAATATGTATACTTTAATATTTCTACAGTTAAGCGGTGACTGAACGAAGTATGTATGATTATTGCTCACCTAAATGTACGTGACGACACTTGTCCAGAAAAGTTGATAACATAAACTGTTATGTAAATAGATTGGTTTTCTGTTCAACCAGACACTGAGCCAACTGAAAATTATTGTAAAATCCATCGCAAACTATAAAATATTCACAGTAAATCGAAGTTTTCTGTGCTAAAATTAAAATAGTAATAAGGGAGTTTCATAAGCTGGACTGAGTGTAGAAAGATAAATATAAACTTAGCGTCATAGTACAGATATTAACTCGGAAAGGGATCGATACCAACTCGCCTTTCGGCTTGCCGTCAAACAGGCGTCCACCTGCCATAAGCGGATAAGTAGCTCCAGTACCTGAGTGAATTGCGCGTACGACTCGCCGACCGCTAGTTGACAGCTAGGCTGCACCAGTTTGATCAATCACAGAGGAAGTATCCACTGCGTTTTAAGAGTCGGTACTTCCTAACCTCTTAAAACGGATGGCTGCTTTCTCTATATGACAGCAAGTTTGGCAACGCAGGCAGCGGGAGGGCAGGGGCGTGAACGAAGAGACGTAAACTATGCTACGGATAGACATAAGCTAGGCTACGGTGAGACGTAAGATAGCTGGACTACGGAGAGACGTAAGCTAGGCTACGGATAGACGTAAGCTTGACTACGGAGAGACGTAAGACGTAAGGGCGCTTTCAATTTATGCGTTTCTTGACGGCCTGCTGCGGTGCCGAAGCGGTGCGTTTGTCGTACAGTGTACGGACGATCCTTTTTTTTCACACAAAACGCACGGTGCGGCTACAGTGCGGCGCCGGTACCGCGAACGCTCGACAACAGGACTGTTACGACTAGGGATGCAAAGTCTTTTGAAATATCGATATTTATATCGATATAAGGGTAAGCCCAAATCTTTTAAAATTACTATACCTATCTTACTTTCTTGACTTGGCAAGCTTAAAAAAATTACGATTTGTATAAGATTCTTAATTTTATTTTGTGTTATATTACAATGATATTAAATTTCAATTAATCAGTAGTTGACAATTATCTAGAAAGAGAGGCAAGGATTTTATTTAAGTACATGAGTTACCATTAGGTATACGATTATACCTATATACGTTGGTGTCGTTTCTGGCATGATTATCTAAACTTAAAACTAAATTTAACATCAGTCTACCCTTTTCATTCTGTATAGAGAATGACAAGGATACACTGTTGTCAAATTTAATTTTAGGTTTAGAGAATCATGCCAGAATCCACACCAGTTTAGTATATTTCTTGGGGTTCAAGATTTTTTTAATACATCTATAAACTCTTGCGATTTCAAAGCAATAGTTATTTCGAAATTATTCAATTTAGAAAGTCATAGCAGGTAAATTAATTGATATTATTGTGTTCAAATTTAGTCTACGAAATATCGATATTTTTGAATTACCGATATCGATATTATCGATATCAGTGAATTTTAAATATCGATATTTTGGTCTCGATATTATCGATAGTCCGATATATCGTTGCAACCCTAGTTACGACAAACCGCTGTACGACAAACGCACCGCTTCGGCACCGCAGCAGGCCGTCAAGAAACGCATAAATTGAAAGCGCCCTAAGTGTACGGAGAGTTGACCACGCACGTTCTTTGTGAGCTTATTTCGAGGCGAGGCGATTACGAATAGGAATTACGAACACTATTCATACAAAGTGAGGAGTGAACATGAACAACTCGAATTGATACAGTGACGACCCTTTCCGAGTTGATATGTCTGCTAACCATTAAACGTAAAGATTTAAGGCAAAATTCTAGTATAAAGCTCACATACCCACACATACGCCCGTTTATTAACAAATCAATTGTACTGAAACTAAATTGGAAAAGAGACAGTTTAAATTATTTCCTCTATGTAAAGGCACCGGCTGGGATCAAACCCCGTCTGCAAATAGTCACCAAAATTAATCTCCCAACATAATATCCCATAAGGCACATCGAACAACCCGCGATCATTATTAATTATGTAGCTACGAACGCTTGTGGTCGCGAGTGTCATTTCCATTTTGTCGATAATCAATATTTATGAATGGTCCAATAAATTCAATGATTAAATTAATTTCAACGTTACGACAGTGTGGCGGAGAATTAATCAGCATCATGAACAAACACTACGTCGTATCGCTTCTACTAGGTAGGGAAATTATTACATTCATACATATTTTCATCATCAGCATCACTATTATTGAGGCACAGGCCTTAGGAGTGGATAGATAGAATGGGCTTTGACCCATCATGCAAATTCAGTGCAGCTTGGTGGGTGCTACTATTGCGGATACATCGTTCCTTCTGCAGTAAGCCGGAGCTAGAGATAATGTATTGCGTAATTTATTTAACTTTCACGGTCGCAAACTAAACGAGTTACCCATAGTGCCATCCATCTAATCAAATATTAACAAACACACATCAAAAGTCTCTGATAAATTCTTAAAAAGAAGAAATACTAATCATTGTTATTCGGTGGTGATCACGATGTGAATAAAACAATATAGGCATTATTGAAATATTGAAAGTCACCTTTAATGCATACTGTGTAAGTAATAAAGGTCTTAATTAAGCGCATGCGTTAAAGAGTTATGGCAGTACGAAATCCAAGTTCATAAAATTGTACGACTTGTTGCAATATGCGCACGAATATAGACGTTATTTATATGTTTCTATATCGTAATTCTGAATGCGCTGTTAGCAATATAGCTGGTAAGGTCGCAACGAAAAGAGACGGCTTTATAACCGACCATGCATTTGATTATCACAAACATTTTCTATTATATTACTTTATAGTAAATTTTAGAAAAAAAATTGCTTTAAATGCGTTAAATTAACAAAGATTGATTAGATACCTGTCGAAAAAACGACAATTTACGTACTATGAGTAATTTTTTTCGCATTTTTTCACGGCGCTCTGCGGCATGTTGACTTTTCAACGATCTGCGTGTGACTGTGAACCTAGAAGAGCTTGAGTGGAGTTCAAGCACTGCTTGATTGGGACATATTTTGAGCGCACGTGGTCTAGGGTATTTAATATCATTGGTTAACCTAAGCAAAACTAAGGCCGAACGCAGGCCCGTAACTCAAATATACAGCTCTGTCTGCAATATATTCTTAGTTTAGGATTTTTTGATTAATAAAGAAATTATTTTTAAAGCCATTGTTAGAATTATGTACAAACCACTCGGCCACGGAGGTCGTCAAATTAGCGAGCACAAAGCGAAATTTAACCGCTGTGTTAATACTTACATATTATCTTGTATTGTATTTTACAGGTATCTGTGTGACGCTGTGCAGTAGTCGTGAGCCATTCAAACCCAAGCATGGTAGCTTACCCTTCATCGTAAGTGAATTAAATGAGAAAATTTTGAACTACACTTATTATGTTACAGAAAACACAAAACAAGGAGACCGTTAGACCCGAGAAAATAAAGAAAATGTTGTCTATGTTATATACAAGCGTCGCGCCCTCGCTTCGCTTCGGTATATAGTTTCCGTTTCGAGCTTGTATAATGTTAAAAACCGCCCAAGTGCGAGTATCACTCGCGCACATATACACATTAAGATAAAATATTTTTTATTATTATTATTATCACGTTGTATGAGAGCCCCCCTTAAATATTTACATTATTTTAGTTAGGTAAGTATTGTAAACTTCTTATAGGATTTCCTGTAATCTACAATAACTTTCTAATTCACCTCTCAAAAGTAACCCCCATAAATACCGAAGTATTTATTTGTTAACTTTAGTTATCCGATGGGTTACAGACATACAGGTATGAACCCTAGCATGAACCATTATCGAATTCGAATAGTTTGCGAGTGCGAAATGTCAATGTCAATTTTTGTATAGAAACAATTTTTGTACACAAAGTACGTAACGAGAACTAAAAATCAGTACACATTTGACAATGACATTTCGGACTCGCAAACGTTACGAATTCGATATTGGTTCGTGCTAAGGGTAATCGGTCTAGTACATTCTGAGCAAATCGACTGTGACAGACAGATAATCGGGTTCCGTTTTTGCCGATTGAGGTACGGAACCCTAAAATTACAGAACTGCTGGTAAAACAACATGGAAATCCATTTTTTAATTTATCGAGAACATACTGACGCGGATGCGGCGGTGGACTTTATGTAATAGTATGTATTGAACAGTGTTATTTGCCCTTCTTCTGTGATCTTAATTCGCCAGTCGAAACGCTTCGACCAATAAATCCTCTGTACCCAACTAGCTTTGTTCGCGTCCTCAGGTGTATTTCACATCGAGGTACCGCGGTATATGCGTGGGCACACTAGTGTCCCGGACCGCGGTCCTCACCGCTGCGGTTTGCATTACTGACCCTCGTTCAGAGGAGCACGACCGCCGCCCCATCACCATCATCGCCGGCACCAGTTACCGACACCCCCGCCGCGGCATCAGAGTGCAGGTCACCAAAATACTCATACCTCACCTCAACTGTGAGTATCACCCCGTAAAGGCGTGTCTACTTATGGTGCAGGATGTGCATTGCACACAGACGCAACGCTCTTTAAGTTTTAGACCCCTTACAAGACTCCACTATCAACCGGCAAAACGAATATAATTCAAATTATGTGCTTTAAGTTTTGCCCTTTAGATATACGTTACATTGGAAACATAAATTAGCAGGCAGCTCGCTGTCAGCGAGCTTACCGCCACAGACTGTGCCATAGTTGGCGCCTCACTTACCACGCGTTGCAAGCTAGCAGTCTGCGCGGTGTCCGCACGCTGACTGCGAGTAGGTCATTCTGGCATAACTACCAAACAATTCTCTGTCAGCTATCTGTCGGCACATGGACTGCGAGCAGTCGCTTTGGTTTTAGTCGGTGTTGGGAGCAGAGTTGGAGCAAAGTCGTATAAGTGGACTAAGACCTTTAGGGGTCGCCGAGTGCTCGCCACCATTACATTTTGACCGCTTACATGAAGGCGCTGGGGTATGATTACGAGCACTACATGGACCAAAGGCGACGTTACCTATGCTGCAAGGGTGTGCTCTTTAGACGGGTGCAACGGTTTTGGTCCAATAAAAGAGGCATGAACAAGCAACTTGCAGGCCGTCAAGGCAAGGTGAGGATGGTCGGTATGGTGAACTACTGCAACAGCTATCTTTGCATATGCACTCCACCGTCACTTTACATCAGGTGAGGAGGAGTCATTTATTCATAAAAAAGCGATCATGAACTATTACTAGCAAGTATCTTTGTATCGCAAGTGTTTATACGCTATTAACCATCAGCTAGACTGTTCGCATGTTTACCACCTTTTCTACTTGTTCCACAGTGTTCAATTTGACTGGTAATCGAGGATATCTTATGGAGAAATCGCCGGCGCTGCTGTTGTTGAAAAGGAAAGTGCCGGACTTAATCGCTGAGATCCCGCTGAGAGCGATGGACTTAGATTGGAAAGGGGAGGAAATTCTGACCCTTCACGAAGAATGCTTTATGCCGGGATGGCACTTTTTCTACAAAGGCGTGAGTATATTAATATCTAAGCAGTATACCGATTGATATTTTAATGTTGGTGAGTTTTTTAAAGGGCAGGGCTTTGGGTAGTTGAATCTGATTGCATATTTGTTTCACAAAATTAGGACATTGTCTTCTCTATTGTGATTTTCAGTTACAAGATTAATACCAACAAAACATAGTTATAAAAAGGTTATTAATTAAAATATAGCCGTACACAGTGCCGTCAAATTAATAAAATGCTTCTTTAATTCACATGTTGTCTTATTCTACTGTTTTCAAAAAGAAAGTTACAGCTTCAACTTTAGTCAAGCTTTAAAGTTTTTGGAATACGGCCGTTAAAGAAAAAAACAACCTATACTTTTCATAAGTCTAAAGTCCAACTGTGATCTTGTACTTAATCTTCTTTAATTTATGGATCACCTGCCAGGGCAAGAGTGGGTATGGTTGCATCTTCCAGCATGGAATACTGATATACTTTGAGTCAGCAAAATCTATACTTGCTAGGTGCCAATAGCTTGCTCAAATAACGTTTTATCTATCTCCAGGACAAGATATACCCAGTACACCGGTTCCTCCTACAGCGGAACTTGCGGGTGCAGTTCCTGAACATAGTGAAGACGAGCGAGTGGTGCGAGGCGCTCATCATCAAGTTTCAGAAGGCGCTGGCAGCACTCGGATTCATGGGCATGTTTGAGAAGTCTTCCACCATCTGTGTCAAAGACGTGAGCAAAGCTTACTCACGATTCAGAACGTTGGGTTGATTTTAGATTGTCTCAGTGTCGCAGTGTGACTAACCTCCATTAATGCCTATATCGCAAAATTACTACACATTATTTCGTCTAGATCTTTAATTGACTATATCGCATAATGCCTAAGAATGCAAAATGACTAGATCTTTATTTGACCACATCAAATAATGACTAGATCGTAAAATGACTACATCTCACAATGAGTGGGTCGCAAATAACTAGATAGGTTAATTGACTACATATACTAGAAGTAGAAGGGATGGAAGGAGGCCGCTGTGCTCAGCGATTCGAGGTCCTCTTTCCAGTCGCTAATGAATCCAGACTCCTCGCATCCGATCACCAAGGCGATTCAGGGTAACCTGGCACAATTTAGGGACAGGAGCCAAACTGTTTCCCTATTTTGGATCGGGGCCCACGTCGGGGTGATCGGAAACGAGAGAGTGGATCAGTTGGCGAAGGAGGTGGCCCTCAGATTGAAGTGCAAATCGCACTATGACTGCTGTCCCATCTCTTTCATTAAACAACATGTACGCGCAATGATGAAAGCGAAATGGGACAGCAGATATAGGAACTGGGACACGACGGCCACAACGAAGGCATTCTTCCCCTGCGGGGAGAGTGACTTCGGTGTCGTAAGAAAGATAGAAATGGATAGGGTTGCTGCACAAATCTTTACCTAGCATGGAGGTTTATCCGTCTACCTCCATAGTTGTACGAAAAAGGACACCCCAAGATGTGTATGCGCCTCAGACAACGAAGAGGACGTTTTTCACGTCCTTTTAGGATGCCCTCTTCACAACATGGAAAGACACTGCACACAGGTAGCGTTGAACACAAAGCGTAGTAGGGAAAACCTGAGGGTGATAATGACAGACAGCAAAGAAAGAGAGATATTAATAAAGTATAGCAAGAAAATTGTAAATAGAGTTATAGAAAGAAATAAGGATAATTAAAATAGGTAAAATTACCTAAGAATATCTGTAAATAGTAAATGTAGAATGTAAGAAAATAAGCCCATTGGCCGAATGTGTGTGTATGTAGAGTAAAATGTAAAAATTGTATATATAAAGAAATAAAAAGGCAAAATAAAATACAAATTAATATTGTAAAAGAAAGAACAAATTATATGTGCAAAAATCAAGCACAAAATGAACATGCTAAAGAGCATGAAGTAAAAAGGAAATAGAAAAAAAAATAAAAAAGACCTGATACAAATTAGGGATAACGGCTAAAAAAAAAGTCTCAGGATTTTCTGTTTTTGTTGAAGGACATAGAACCACTTATGCTCTTTAGACTCTAGACTAGAGGCATGGCATTGGTGTTCGGCTACAGCAAAGGACGACTCTGGTTAAGTTCATGCTTAAACTAAAAAGTTTCAAAATTATATTTTTAGGTTATAAGTTACGTAATTACTGATGGTAATTCATTTAAGTATCAACTGCTAATTATTTTTGGATAATTATCCGAAATTGTGTAGTTTAATTTGACTGTACACTGTTCAATTAAAGATCTAGAAGAAATAATATGAAGTCATTTTGCGATATAGTCATTTATGGAGGTTAGTCACACTGCGACCTAGACAATCTAAAATCGACCATTATTAATGGCGAAAGTTTTCATATAAATTCGTAAAATGGTTGGTAAATTCGTACAACTAAACTCTGATTACAGAACAAATAAAATTAGAGTAAAATAAATTACACTCGGTCAAGGTATAAGGCTCGATTCAAAAAAGCGCTTGTTGTTTTTCGAGCAAATATAGTGACCAGTATGCTGCTAAGGTAGCTAGATAGACGTGTCGAATTTCTGTTATAGTAGGTATACAGTAGATTGCAAGACAGCGTCACTTCTATAGTTTCCTGTAATATGAAAAAATGGCACTGTATTCACCTTCATAGCTTGGCTAAGTGAAATATATTCATGTAAAATTTTCTTACATTAAAAAATCTAGCAATTCATGCTTAAAATAATAATTATTATAAAAAGAATAATATTAAGAACATGACTGCAAATTGTCAACACTAGGTATGTTTGATTTAATAATGTAGCAAGCCTTTACTTGAGCTGTAACATTCCTTTCTAAGCTAGGCCAAGTTCTTGACCAATTCAGCAAAAGTATTCTGACGCTTTCACTCCACGTAAATTTCAATGATGCTCTTCTAACCTAGTTACCGTGCCTAGGGTATAGATAATATTACCGTGCCTAGGGCCAGCGATACAAAGAACAATTAAAACTTTGTAAATCGTTCAAATTCTTAGGAAAACTCTTTTTCAGCCTGGTAGAGCCGCACAACCTTGTCACGTGAGTGTTTTCTTAATATTGTTATGTAATAAGCATATGAATATGGCCTACCTGATGGCAAGCGGCGACCATGGCATATAGACGCTTGCGAATTATATAATATAACTTGCAACATTATTTTTTGACGACATTTTGACGACCTCCGTGGTCGAGTGGTTAGTACGCCGGTTGTTTCATGGTGTCACCGACTCGAGAGGTCCCGGGTTCGAAACCCGGTGGGGGCAGATGTTTGTGTGATGAATACGAGCATTTGTACTCCAGTCATGGATGTTTTATATGTATTTCTATATAAATATACTTATATATGTACTGTATATGTATTCTATCCGTTACCCTAGTATCCCATAACACAAGCCTTACAGTGCTTACTTTGGGGCTAGGCTAATTGGTGTGAATGTTGGAAATATTTATTTATTTATTTACCGTGACTCAAACCCCTACCCCGTGGAATCATGGAACCTTACGTACCCATAAAAATACACCACCAAAAGGTAGCGTTATTTTACTGTTGTCTTCTGTAAGGTGGAGGTTGCTTCCCTAGGTATGGGCTTCAATTCGAGCGCAAAATCAGCTATGCCCTACCTCACATTCTGGAGACTTGAGTCCTTAAAGAAGCGCTTGGCATCAATTCAAGCGGAAAATCTTCTGTGGTTTACCTCTCTTAACGTTACGTATGTTTTGGCAAAGGTTTACTGAAGCAATTGTTATGGATCCAGAAACAAAGAGACTTCAGTCAATATAAGTGAAATCGCTTTTATAATTACTAACTGAATCGTGAATCCAATCCGGGACTCAGAGTGTTGACGACGACTAAGGTACGTTTACGCTAAATTATTATTTAGCGCACTGGCACATGGGCACTTCAATTCGAGCGGGAAATGTGCTATATACTATATTTCTTAAATATAATAATGATTGTTTATTCTCCTTTACGTAGCGCGATTTGCATGCTCTGAAGGACATTTTCTTCGCACATCCTGATCGATACTGCAATTGCAGGACATTTTCTTAATAAAATCTTTGTTTATTCGGTCTTTCAGGGGATGTACGGCGCGCCGCTCATCTGCAAAGCGCGCGTGGTGGGCATGTTGATGGCACCAGACGCCCAGTGGACAAACTGTACCGGAACATCCAACATTATTCATCTGTTACACTCAGAATACCTGTACCCGTTTATGTCCTGCATATCTCGGTAACAATTTGCGAGGGTTTCTCTCATAGAACTCCAAAATTATTTCCCAAACTACTCCAAGTTTCATTTTACTTTAAGAGATTATAAGATTATGCTCAAACTACTCCAGCGTACTTGTTTGAAATAATTTCAACCTATGGAGTATGATGCAACTTAAATTCAGTTTTCTAAAATAATATTTAATTGTGTGGAGAAGTTTGCGAATAAATGTATGGGTTTCTTATCTTTTTAGAACAAAAGATTTCAGTACTATAAGAATAACCCGTACCCTTAGTACGAGTTTTACAATTACGAAAACTATGATAGTTTTCGTGAGCTCGCAGTATGATTTTATTGTTTACGTTTTAATACAAATAAACAGTGTTTAAATTCTACCATTTAAACATCTGCGTCTTCCTAAATTTTAAGTATATTTGGTTACTATCCATTAAAATGGACATAGAAACATAATTTACAATTACGAAAACTGATAGTTTTCGTGAGCGTAAACTCGTACTAAGGGTACCGTTTGTGGTATAGATGACCGGTTGGTGTAACGGCATAGCCACAGTGTATTTTTCATATATACACAAAGATGTGTGTTAAACAGTATTAAGCCCTGATTTGGTTTAAGGATGTTGGTGCAAGTCGCCCTAGATAAATCTAGTAAATTATTTAAATTAGTTGTGTTTAACACGTGTTGTTTGCAGTCTGTTCGAACCCGAGATCAAAATGGACTGGCTGACGATGAAGAAGACCATCCACGACGAAAAGCTGGATTACGATTACCTACCTAACATGTATGACCAACTTCGCTGGTCCTCTGGTAGCACATCCACGGAGGAGAACTAAGCGACATCGTAGGAAAAACTTCTTGTTATATCTACACTGTTGAACTTGTTTGTTGGACTCCACTTATATCTGCACTGATAAGTGCCAGCTAGTTAAACTTTTCAGTGCAGATATTGGTAACCCCTCAATGAACAGGACAAAAGTCGAAATAAATTATATTATAACACATTTTTAAAAACAACTTCTTATTCTAATGCTCTACAAAGAAAATCATTGAATGCAGTCGTTACTTAATTTATTCGAGGTTTATATCCGGCCAGCTAATTCACCAATCACAAATAAACAACAAAAATAATGATACAAATTACACCTACGTAAACAACACAAATAAACGTCCAATCGAAATCAATACGGCATACGGCACCACCTTTGTCCAGTGAAATATTTGCGAAAATCCGAAGTTATTTGATACATCGTCGAGAAATAAAACGGATGGACCGCGACCGCGCCGCCATCTCACGCCGACGCAGCGGTCGCGGCTAAAATTAAAAGCGTTTTATGAATACCCGCCACTATGACACAACTCATTCCACCAAAGACATCCTTGTAGCCTGGTAATTGTGTCAAACATAAAGTTTATGAGCGCGTTTTAATCATGTAACACGATTTAATATATAGGTATATTTGAATTACTACTGAAAAACGTCATGAGACTTCTATTTTTAATTTAACCATGAAAATATTGCTTCTTTGTTGAGATTTCATCAACATTCGTTTATTTTAGTTAACCATAACTTATAGCTAGATTATAATGACGTGGTTTAAGATTAAAAAGTAACTTTATTAAACTGTTTTTATTTGATAAAAGTAATTGAAAAAAAATAAAAGATAATAATGAAAATAAAAAAGTAATCGGAAAGAAAGAACGAACCTCCGACAGAATTTTTAGCAATTTAAAGTGTAGAAAAGAGCCCTTAACAAAATAATGAAACAAACATGAATTACTTTATTTTTAGGAAATTTACGGTTGCTTAACAAAATTTTATATTAGCTTGTACTATTTATTTTCACAGTAAAATTAAAAATAATATACCAAATTACTACTACATTTCACTATGTATCAAACAACGCTGCGGAAGATTACCTCGGACCATTAATTAGTAAGAATAAAACAAATGACTGAAATGAAATGAAAAGTCATTTATTCAGTCTAGGCTGTTACAAGCACTTGTGAAGGTCAAGAAGCTGCGCCATCGGTTCGCAAAACTACGGCGGGAGACCTTGTACTGAGAAGAACCGGCAAGAAACTCAGCAAGGGCTGTTTTTTTCTCCCTGTATTGTTTTAAACAGTGTCGTCAAGTTGAAAAATGACTTCAGAAATACGTCTGAGGTCACTTTCCATTACATCATTTAGAATATAACTATATAGTTACAATCAATTTTATAGTAAACATTATATTTAGTATATAGGAAGCGGCATTAGATAGGTACAATATTACTGTTATGAAAAATGACTAATACCCATTTAATAACAAATTATAAGAAACACTATGTCCATGCATTACGATCATTTAGATAATCATCAACTTTATAATAGCCCTTATTCATAAGAGTATTTTTGATCTGAGATTTAAATTTAGTCAGTGGAAGCTCAATCAGATCTAGGGGAACTTTATTAAACAATGCAATACTACAACCCAGAAATGAACCTCTTGATTTTTGGAGTCTGAAACATGGAACGGCAAGCTTGTACTTAAATCTCGTGTTAAAGTTTGACTTTTTTTTTGCAAATTCATCATAGTTTTTTCTTACATATATTAAATTTTCATAAATGTATTGCGACGCCAGTGTTAAAATATTAATTTCTTTAAATTTTTCTCTAAGGGATTCTCTTGCGTTTAAATTGTATATGGCGCGAACAGCTCTCTAGATAAGGGTCCATAATTTTTGAGACCAAAAAAAATTATAGTAGGATGAAACCCATTGGAAAAGGTAGAGAATATAACAAAAATGAAAGGAAAAATAAATTACGGGCGATCTGAGGTCGGGAAGGGGGAGAGGGTGAGTTTTTAAAAAAACTCCAATCCGAAAAATTGATTTGAATCATTATGTATAATTTTGAACTATTTATTAAAATTTACACTTTAATTACTCGAAAAACGTAAGATTTCATGTTATATTGATAAACAGAAAAATTACAAATCCATAAAACATGCAAAAATAGTTGTTGTAAGTAGGTATTAAAAATAGGATATTCGGATTCGAGTTATTATCATTATTAATTTGCAGTTTCTGAGAACATTTACCATAGTAGTGTATATTGTTTTTTATACCATCAAAGAGTAGAGATTTCAACAAACAAAAAACACACCACCTTTTTTAAAAAAGCAGATATTTTGACGTGAGAATTTTCGATTGAAAATAAGGGTGCTTTTTCGATATTAAGTCAAAATAAGGTGAAAAAATTAATATTTTAAATAAAAAAAAAATGCTGTATGTTTGGGACATACAAAGGTACTTAAGTGTTCACTAAATTTCGTTAAAAAAATATTTTTTGTGCATAAAATAAAAATAAAAATCCAAAAACTCGGTTATTAGAATGTTTCACATTAATTTTGAGGTTATGTGAAAAAAGTGTCGATACAAAAGTTGTAGATCTTTTTATTACCTACAACTTTGTCATTTAACTTTTTTTCATAGGACTTTCAGTTTTCCCGGAAATCGAGACTAACCGGTTTTTACCCTTAAACACTCATCCCCTCCCCCTTTCCGACCTCAGATCGCCCGTAATTTATTTTTCCTTTAACTTTTGTTATATTCTCTACCTTTTCCAATGGGTTTCATCCTACTATATTTTTTTTTACCACTTTTCACCATTTTTAAAATTATCGACCCTGGTCTACTCTTTTGCAGTATGAAAATACTTTCAATATTAGCGGCTGAGCCCCACAACAAAATGCCATATGACATAACACTATGAAAGTAACCAAAGTAAACTAATAAAATAAACATCCTTAAAGAGAGGGATAACTTTAGCACATTTCTTTAGATCTGGAAACACTCCCTCATCAATACATTTGTTAAATATAATGGCCAGTTGTGGCGCAATGACAGTGATAATCAGTTTTATTATATATGTTGATATTCCCCAATAATCCTCTGTCTTTTTAATTTTAATTGAATTAAAAGTTTTTATAATACAATCACTACTGATATGTCTAAACTGAAAATCATTACTGCACTTATCAACACTTGACTCAAGGAGGGTCATTGCTAACCTAGAACAAGAATTAAGATTTCTAGTTGTTTCAAATGGTGCACTAGAAAAGAAATTTTGAAAAGTGTTTGCAGCGGCATCATCTGTCCTAATAATCTTATTGTCTATTTTTAAAGAATATGTGTGTTCATTAAATTTATTTCTTCCAGTTTCATTATTAATTATATTCCAAGTTGTCTTTATTTTATTATCGGAAAGACTAATTTTTTTAGATAAAAACTTAGACTTTGCTATGGCACACACCTTTTCAAAAGTTTTTGACATATTCTATAAACTTAGGATCAGATGAGGTTGCCTTGAGAGCATATAATTGATACAACTTGTTTCTACTTTTGTAAATACCCGGTGTGGCCCAATCACTGAATTTCTTTTTAAAGCTATGGCATTTAATAAGTTTGCGTTTGAATATTATATTAAATTCATCTTTAATTAAATTGAATAAATCTTCATACACAATCTTATTATTATTAGAAACTGGTAAGTACGATATTTTGTGATAAACGCTATCTTGAAATTTATTTATACCCGTTTGTCTGGTTTGGTCTACAAGTTAGGTCATGTTTGGGTGAAGCATGATGGTGTTCAATAGAGGCTAATTGTCCGCTATGATCAGAATTAATACAATTTATTATTGATTTATTAAAAACATTTCTATTACAAAAAATATTATCTAAATATGTCGCTGATGCATGTGTGATGCGTGTAGGCTCAAAGTAGGTATGCTCCAAGTTATATGATTTAAATAAGTTTAGAAACTTACTCACTAATGGACACTTAACTAAAATGTTTATATTAAAATCACCACACACAACAACTACTTTATTACATCTACATACTATATTGAAAGCATCTTCCATAGCGGACTCAAATTGGGTGTAATTCCCAGATGGGGGCCGATATACACATATTATGATCATTTCTTCAAGTTCCACACAAGATATTTCAATATTACGTTCAACTGAAAGCGTAACAATATCTGTACGTTCTTTGTATTTAAGATTGTTCTGTAAGATTATGAGAGAGCCTCCCCTGATAGCCGATTTCCTACAAAAATTACTAACAACTGTATAATTATCTAAGCCTGTAACTAATTCATAATCTCTGAGCCAGTGCTCTGTAATACATAATGTTTATATTCATTGTATTTAAAAATAAGCATAGTTCTAAGTCTTTACCAGAAAAGCCTTGTATATTTTGGTGAACAATATTTAGACTTTTACTTGGTCATGACATAGCTAGAGAGCTCCTCTGTTGTCTTACGAACTAATTTAAATTACAATTAATGTCAGTATTTGGAACAAATTCCAAAGTCTGATCCACATAATTATGCTGCTCAATAGAAGCAGTAGTGATAGCCAAGTTTTTGGCTATGTGTGTAAAATAAAATAATAGCGAAGAAGCTATTTGTCTCTTATTGTAATATGAAAGATAATATTTATCTCTTATCATTTTAAAATTATATATAGGGTTTTTCAACAAGAACTTTGTTTTCTACAACAAAATAAAACAAAAAAAATAGATGAAGATTATTAAATTTTTTATTGAATTACAAAGAGAAAAGTTCAGCAATTATGAATGAAAAATGATATCTTGCAAATGTCCACCACGAGCAAGCTGACAGATGTCGATTCTTTCATCAAAATTTTTAATCAACGTTTGGCAAAATGGCAGGGCTATTTCATTAATCTCATCACGGATGTTGAGTTTTAAGGCTGCAATCGATTCGATTGGCCCCGTATACACTCTGTCCTTAACATAACCCCACAAAAAATAATCTAGTGGTATTAAATCACATGATCTGGCTGGCCACTTAACAGCTGAGTTTAGTGAAATTATGCGATCGGGAAATTTAGTTCGCAATAAATTGATCGTTTCATTAGCTGTGTGACATGTGGCGCCGTCCTATTGAAACCACATATCGGTGATATCAACGTCATC